CCCCCCTTCCCAGTATCCCCAACAATCCTCAAATTCCCAATTTGCAAAGTACCGGTTACGCGCTTGCCACGCCGCTGCACCGAACAGATGGCAGAGAAACGCCGATTGCTTGCCATCAGGTGATCCGTCTGCTTGTTTAGCGGCTTATCACATAAAAAAGGAAATATATTGTTGGTCAACGAAATGAGATGCTCGTTCCAATACACTTTCATATGAAGAAGAACAAGCAAGAAACTCCATCTATTTTTAATCAATCGATCGTCAGGAGGTGTGAATCTGACAATGAATAGTAACGTATTAGTGGGCTGTAAGTGCCGTCATCATCATGTGGATGGTAATTACGGCAGGTTAGAATACATTGTTGATACTTAAATCGTACGGCGTTAGGTGCCGTCCGGCGTTAAGGGACTTCCCCCTACTTCATGTGAATATAACGTGACATTTTCCATCTTTCAAGTTCCGTGTGGTTTCATCAACAACATCTACCGACCGTGACGATGGGTTTCCATAACAACGTTCTCATTTAACCTCCACACATTACAGATGCGTTTGAAATTGAGTTTAAAATGTTCAAATTTATCACATAGCGCTGCTGCACGCCATCTGTCGAATTTGTCCCTTAATCAGCTCGTATCATACCCGTGAGAAGAGTAACATTGATATGTTACTCTTGTTTGTTTTGTTTTTTTTATTGTTGTTACAATTGTACAATACATTGTTGATACAATGTATTCTAACCTGCCGTAATTACCATCCACATGATGATGACGGCACTTACAGCCCACTAATACGTTACTATTCATTGTCAGATTCACACCTTCTGACGAACCATAACAACTGTTACATTACAGAGTGTCGAGTCCACATTATGATTATGACACACAGTTTGTAATTCACAAGCATAATTTGCTGGAAGTAGTTATATCATTGAATGATGACAAACACACGAGTCACACGACGTCGCCACATTACATTAGATAAATGCTTCTGAATGGACCAATCATGGACACTAACAAACTAGTTTTTGGCATCTGCGGTTTTATTGACGAAAGCGATGCTAATTTGTCTTCTAAAATCCCATCAGAGTAACATATTTGATGAGAGCTTCAGCATATGATACATTTTTGTCAAAAACATTGAGCCATCCAGATTTTGGTTTAAATTCGTTATTGATTTCGGTTGTAACCAAGCTTATGATATGACCCTGGTTATGGAAGTCACATATAGTGACATTCAGCTGACCCAGGCAAAGACTGATATACCGACTCCAAACTAGAAGAAAGAAGAGGTATAATACATGTGTTAGTATGTAAGTAACGGGACTGACCTCCCTGGGATGTGCGGTGGGGCTGAGACAAGCGTGGAGCGCGCGCGCGGCGCCGCGCAGCGCGAGGTAGTCCCGCGCCGCCGCGCGCACCACCAGCCCGTCCCAGCCGCGCGCGCGCTCCAGGTACTCCGACGTCTGAGAGCGCGGCCCGCGGGGCAGGAACTCCACGAATGTGCCGTTATACTGGAATAATACATACATTATATTTATTTGCACACTTAATGCTATCAATTGAACTAACCATAAGATCGATGGCAAAATATAGATACCAAAAGACATGCTCATGGCTCATAACTAGTCATACATTAACAGCCCACGACATTTCATGAGTCCACTGCTAGACTGTGGCCTGTCTATGTAGAGAAAGCCTCTACATAAGTTTTCTATAACCACCACGCTTGGTTAATGGGTTAGATTTATCAGAGAGCGCTGCTGCCCGGTCTCTATCAAATGTGTAGTTAGTCCCTTAGTAGGCAACAGCCGCGGGAACAGTAAGGTGTAGAGAAAATTATGTATTCTACTCCGCCGGCACAATATCGCATTATCTGAGTACTTCTTGGATCAGTTCGGTAAACCCATTCATGATACAAAAATAAACATCATACGAATTCCGAGTCCATAGTCATACAACACATTAATAGATACCAATATTTGAGTAGATATACATAGCTACATTAATTATCTAAATGATAAATCAGTACAATACTTTATTCAGTTGTTGCCACGCTCAAATTAAAAGGTCAAGGAGCTGTAGCGATGCCGCGATGGCGTGAGAATAGCAAATCGATAAAACACTAAAATGTTAACACACCTAGTACATACACTCAACTGTATACCTACACAATAATTAGGTAATTACTACTCTAGGTATTTGTTTCGTTTATAGAACCGGTATGAACAATAAAATCTTCGATGACTTCGGCTTCAGTTACGAATTTGGCAGCCAAGCAAGACTCTTTTGGTCCGATTCCGGCTCTCTTTTCGACCGTTTAAATAAGTTTTGCACCAGAGTCTACAATGGTGCCAAAAAGGCATGGAGTTAATAACCGGCGACCAGTGGGTGTTAATAATGTGCATCTCAACAACTCCTTTATGACAAAAATGGTATGTTTCGTTATGGATAAAACAATGGACCCCCGAAATATAACATCTACATCACCATCCGAACAATTTTAGATGACACATATATCTAAATAGATATGACTATAGGACACACATTCATTCAGTTGGTCTGTTTAGTGTTAGTAATAACCTTATTACAATGGGTTTGACTAAGCTGTATCTGTCATATGAATAACTCCTTGACTTGTATAGTTCATAGAAATGTTTTATAGCATCATGCATTCAAGAATAAAACAGCATAACATTATTTAGTAACACGTACATATGTTGAATTATAACACCCATATTTGACAAATCATGTTACAAGGTAAACGGTGGCGCGATCTTTCCCCATTATCAGACACCATCCTTCCCATTCATCTCCTGAATTTCCAATAATCGATAAAAGTATAGAAATTTAATTGACCTCGAAATGCGATGTTCAGCTCGCTAACGGCCCCAAATGTTACACATTAAGTATAAACCCGAGACGCTTTGCTTGGCAGCTGCGCACTTGCCACTCAATCAAAAGAGGTGTCATTGACAAAGACTGCCTTCTAGACCTCCTCCTCCTCCTCCACTTGTGATCTTAAGTTCATCTACTTATGATCAACTTTGTGTAAAACTTATTCATAAAAATAAATACAAGCAGAAGAAAATTGTGACATACAACAATAATGTCGAACCCGCGAGAACCCAACTATGTACTGCCTCCAAACTGGTACGCTGTTTGGCAGATCATAACTTAGTTAAAACTTTCTTGTATGTAATTCAATTAATTAAAAAAAAAAACAGATACTCACAATTTCACCAAAGAGTCTGTCCATGACCTCAACCTGCGGCGTGGGTTCGGGCGGCGGGTGCGAGGGCGGCGTGACGTGTCGCGGCGCCAGGTGTAGTTGCTGCACGAAGGCCACCAGCGCCGCGGAGCCCTGCGCTATGTTCGCCAGCTCGTAGTCTCGAGACATGTTCGCGCGGAACTTCTGGGCGCCCAGTGCTATAGGACATTTATTTCAATCAAATTAATTATTCTATTCTATTTGAGTTTTATCATCATCATCAGAGTTCATGACTGGAGTGCCTATATAAACTATAGTAGACACATCTAGTGATTGAGATATTAACATGTAAGTGTTACATTGCAATCTATTTGCAAAAAAAAATCATTTATCATTTATAGGTCTCTACAAGAAAGGTTTATCATACTCTCCTATGCTTGACAAGCTGTTGATGACCGACAAGTTGGAAGTGGACATTAAATAATGCCACTGCTGAGAGGAGATGGTGACAAATGTTTCCTATTCTACCTTGCTATCACATGGCCAGTCAAGTAAAAGTTTAATTTAACACTTCATTATTTATTACATTTACTTGGCATAACTTGTAACAAATCACTCAAATACACACAAATCACTCTATGTTGTTATGTACTTATGTAGATCATCATCATAAGTTTGATTGTTCAGTTTATTATTTGATTAGGTACATAGGATTCATATTTACAATTACTTATATGCTGCTTGTATGTATATTTAAACTTCATAAGAGGTAGTACAAAAACAATAAGTATAAAATAAGTATGAGAGTCAAAGCGAGCAGCACAGCTTCTTATGCTACTATTTGCACTTAAACTGACACGCCACACTTAACCTATAAGAAACTTTTTAAGGAATATTATAATGAAAAATACAGGTCCTGCTACAATGTTAAGTAAATGATTTAACCTCCACAATTTCAATTACATTTATCACCGCTTACAATATTTTACTTAGAAACATAGTTCCTAGTCATTTAAACAACAGATAAAACTCCTTTTAAATCAAAACAACCATGTCTAAACATTCCCATAACACAAACCACATTACATACAAGAAATAAATCAGTTTATAAAATAAAAAATTGAAAACTTACCAACTGTATCCATATAGATCAGTAACATAGTCATAACGGTCACAAAAGTCAGGACAAATAGCATAGCAGGCAATAGTCTCCTATATAGGTCATTTGGAGAAGTCTTGGAGAACACTGGAGTAGTCAGCCGAGGAGTCACCTCGGGTGCAGTGACCACTGGTACTGGTACACTAATGGCAGGTTTGTCTGGGACAGGTTTTGGTACCATGTCTTTAGGTTTGTCCATTGTCTCTGCTGGTTGGTCTTCTGGGAGCGGGTTTTCTTGAATTTTCTATAAAGAGAAGTAGGATTAGATGACATTTGACTATTGTGATGTTATCTTTGGCTTCAAAAGTTCTTGAGAATAGTTAGTTGTCTACTGATGCTATGTTTTAATTTTCACCTGATAACTTACCTGAAGTAACCAATGTAACTTTCTATGTCTAACTATGCAAAATTTCACCATAATTTCGAAAAATTTAATAATACACGTGCAATTTAGCGCATTAAATGTTTTTTTATTAGTTACTTTAATAAAAATAAACTTAGAATTTCGCGTTACATGCCAAACTGAAGACGCATTCAAAGACAAGACAGGTGTATTTTTTTCTGACTAATGCAAACAGCTGCAAGGAGGTTTCATGTTATACTGAAAAAACATCAGGTGTCGTGGTGCAAATGCTAAACTTCTAAGGTAACAACTCGTACACCTGTCGTTGATAGTAATTAGGAAACTAAAATGCAACATTCATTTTCATGCACAAAAGCTGAGCTATGAGAATAAAATGCAGACGAATTACCTTTTCGGCCATCGTAACCTTTTGTTTTGTTCCTTACGTAAAATAAACACGCACAACAATCACTTTTTCTTCAAGCTTATGACCTTCTTATCTTATATTAACAAACATAATAATATAAACACAACTCTATTACTTTAAACTTAATTATTATATTACAGGAATAATACTGAATTATTTGAAAATAAAATAAAAATATACGTCAAAGAAGCGTGAGTCACTGACCGCATTAGTTGCGACTACATCAAAATTTTAATTTCTACCATACGAGCAAAAAATAATCTACCATTTTTTTCTTTTAACTTTTTCATTCAAATTTTTGTTGCTTGTAAGTAACCATCAGTGTGTGCTGTGTAGCATGTTCGTATTCAAATGATTGATTCTTAATATTATTAGACTATTGTTTCTACTTTCTCTTAATACAGCACACAAAAAAAGGGTAATGAATGGAGTTTCTTGCTCGTTTTTCTCCATTCGAATCTACATTTTGGAATGAGCACCGAGCTTCACTGACGGACTGACTGCTGACTGACAGACTATTATTAATTTTGTATTAATTTCTTGACGTTTCAAAAGTACCAAAATATGGTTTAATTGAAATATATGTTTTGACTTTGACTTTGAAAAATATTATTCTTATGAGTTTATGGGATTCACACAGCAAGGGTTTCCATTTCATACAAACACTTAAATCCAAATTATTTTAATGTAAATTAGGAAAACCCATTTTTCTGAAACTAGTAGGTAATTTTATTGGTGGGTGAATGTCAATAAAAAGATATTAGTTTCATTCGTACAAGGAAAGTGTTAGGAAAGAAAAAAATAACGCAAGAAATTCAACATGTAACAGATAAAACACAATTTACTTTAGGAAAAGGTCTTTATTGTCAAAGTTTATTATAAATTACACAATATTAACGGCAATGTTGACTCGTGAAAATGTTAAGTATGTACACATAGCGATAGCGTTTGTAAAAAGCTTTAAAACTCTATGTTATACTTCAGTTTTAAAATGTGCAATATTTGTTAAATCATGGTGTTCTTGTATTGACTTTAACAATAAAATTGTGTTAAAGACACATCAATTTATGGGATACACAAAATAAATTAAATTTACATAAAAGATAGTTAGAACGTATAAAACAAAAAGGCACCAAAATTATGTTTTATTAAAAAATAACTTGGAATAACATATTTTGATGCTTCATTACATTTTAGCTACCAGCAGGCTTTTTATTTAAGTCAAGTCAAATTTTATACCTATGATATTTTGAAAGTTGATAACGGGATAGATATGTTCATTTACTTGACGAATACAGTTTTTTAATCCTTAAAAAATAATACATCTTTTTGTTTAATAATTACGATTTGTAAATGTGTAAATTAAAAACTCTATTTCTATCATCAAAAGATTAATATTAATAATATACACACAATGTAGCAGGCTTTATCATTAATTGCACTGTATAAATTTTTTTTTTATTATCTATAATATTATTACATTAATTAACTATCAATAAAATTCTTATGTTTTTTTTTTATTTGTGCATCAACATCTACAACTACAAAGTGTAAAATGATTTTTAATTACTTTTTTTTTTTTTCCTAACACAATACAATATAAATTGGTAGTTGGTACATACTTTTCAAATAATGTATACACGAGCAAAAAAGAAATTCAAGTAAAATATTAAATATAGCAAGATGCCTTTTAGGCTCAACACTATAAACACTTAAAAACTGTATAACTTAGGTACTTTAAAATAAAATTTGCCGTATAACCTACCAATATTGTAATAATTTTCATTGTAGCAACATTAATTAGTAGTTTTTCTTTCACAATCTATGAAAAATACAGTCTGCAGAAAACTGTTTATTAATAATTATAGCATTTATTTCAACTATCTATAATTTAATATCTAAGGGCGTGAATTAGGAAATATTAAATTGATTCGATTATAAAAACAACCCTGAAGGTGATAAGTAGGTGTATCTGGGGGCACGGTAGTGCCCCAGCCAAGTCTCGAGCACAGTTTTTTTAGCTGAGTAGGTAACTAGGTACTTCACAATGGCGATTAGGTATTTAACGAAATTTAAAATGTGTCTATACTGCCAAGATGATAATCATTCTTCATAGTGTAATACTTATATTTTATAATTTTAAAAATAGTATGATGTATATTTTAATTTATACATAGATACTCGAAATCTACATAGGTACCAAACGCTCTATACAAAAACAAAGTTGAAATTGGTTGAAATGAATGGAATGTACGTTAACGTAATACTGTTCTATGAGTTTAAAATATGGTCGATAATGATAAGGCAAAAGCCTTTACCTGCGGTATGCCGTTTAAATTATAATATAAGTACATGTAAAATACAATCTAATTGTTTTAGTTTACATACATATTTCTTTACAGTCAGATATGATCTACAACAACTGGTTTAAGGAAACGAATAGATCGTAACAATTAAAAATAATTTTCATATAATTGCAAGGATCGAACCCTGTATGCATTTATCTATTTGCTGAGTTATTGTAAGGCAAGTCAGGTCATAGTGATTAAATGATAGACTTTAATTATTAAAATTAATATTAACGACATATTTTGTAAATCATATCTGGTTGCGAACTTATATTAATAAGACGAAATAATTTTTGTCTTTCATTATTCATTGAGAAATATTACTCTACTTACACTTTACATTATGTAAACAGCCCAAAAAGTTTAATAACTATTTATTGTCAATTAACAAAGTCCATTCAGGAAGCAAGTGAATGTGATAAATATATTGTACGTACATACATACTAGAGTTATCTTCGAAGAAATTTATTGTCCGACATTTCATTATTTTTTAGTCTCTAGGGAAAAAGATTACTCTAAATAACTTTTATTTTATATAAAATGGCTTACTATAATATTTGTTATTGTCAAGCACACGACGAATACTTACAAAATGAATGAATAATTGTTACGTTTTATTGTCAATATTTCCATGCAATTTGCATTTGTAGCTCTTAGAAGATTTACCTTGATTAAGTTAGTATTTCAAAATTGTCTCATTAAGCCGGAGTAAAATTCCGTGAATACATTTTATTAACAATTTTATTGATAATAAGATAAAACAGTAATTTCTATTATCTTAAATCAGTGGTTCTTCTATCATTCAGAATATACATAATAGTACTTATTTATAATATTAGAGGAGATACAGATCTCATTATTCAAAATCAAAGTACATAGAGTAGTTTTGATTCTTTTCTGAAATTGAGAATCATTTTTTTGTCACATGTTTTGAGACTATATTACAATATTGTAATTTCTCTGGAAAATACCTCATCATAGTAGGTATAACTTCACCGACATTTTGACATTATTGTCATAATGATGATTTATTTATTTTTATGCTTTGCTGTTTTATCAGGCTTTTAACTTTTTTTACGTTCTGCCAATTAATTTTAATGTGTCATGACAATTAGTACATTTCCTCGTACTTGAGCGGGTACGACGCATGTAGGTATTTTAAATGCAGGCCCGATACTTAGGTCGGACTTGAAGAGTTCAAAGTTATAGGGGTTCTTAAATACAAGAGGGCTAATAGATAATCGTCAAAATCCTAAATTGTAAAAATGCACTTTCGCGCTCCACATCTGATATGAAATTGATATTATGTACGTAGATTGACATTATTTACCCATTTCTTTATAAATACCTGTACAAACTGGCGAATTCCATACTCTTTACATTCTAAATTCGTCCAACAATATCACAATCTTCACTTGGATATATCGACGCGAATATAATCTCATATTGTCTTCTCCAATCTTCTCGAGTCACAAAACAACAGACAAAGTTGAATGACGAATACTACATTTTTGAATATGTATCAATTAATAATATTGTATAGATAGATCTAAATACCTAAATATTTTAGGCCTATTTAAAATGTTTCTAGACAATTTTATATAAATATCATTTTATTATTCTAAGTAAAAATAACCAACAATATAATAAGTAGCGTAATAATAATTCTAATAAATACATGTTGTCTACAATTTGTTGAACAATAATAGTAATACAAATATTGTAAAAAATATTTTAAAATTATAAATATAAATATTTTATGCTTACTCTACATTATTGTCACATTTGACAGTTGAGTACACAGACTCATTATTATTGTCTACGTCATCTTACCGTTACAGAATACAGATTCAAAATTATTGTCTTCGTTTCTGTTGAAGATTATTCTATTCTACAATATTCACAACAGTGTTATATATTGATGCTCGGTACAAAAAAATGGTAGTAAAAAGATACAAATATTGTAAATATGTTATCCTCGCGTCGATTATCCCCGTCGTCGGCGTGTTCTCCCATTACCTGAGCCTGTTGGCGAGATGGCTGGCGGCGGCGACGGCGAGCGGAGCCAGCGCGGTGGCGGCGGCCGACAGCGAGCCGGCGTTGATGCGCGCGTGCTTCTCGCCCGCCACCGGCACCGGCGTGCCCGGCTCCACCACGTGGATCTTCCAGCCCAGGTTGTTGTGCGTGTAGCACTGGAATTTATGATACAACAGTGCATCTTGAGATAATGCAACTTTGACATGCATTTACAGGCTCGATCGGAGTCATGCAGAAAAAATTCTTGCATTGTATTTAGCCGTATGAGTGAAATAACCGGAGCCCGAATACTCTCCCCTTTTTTTAAGGGCAGAGTATTCCCCTTCGGTTTGGTGGGAGGGGAGCAGGCCTTGCCCCCGAGCCGGTGATTGGCCGGCTTGCCACGGTGCACGCAGCGGGTGCACGTCCGATGTGCACGTGGCGCTCACGTGCCCCCCAGGTGGCAGCGGTACACCTCAGAGTCCTCAAGCAGTTAGGCCTGCGCCGAGACCCACCCACCAAGAGCCTATTGCCCTCCTTGCATTTTTTGGCCGCTGTAACGGGGCAGCTGACCACCACGAATCCTCTCCCCTGCCTCCCCCATTTCAGAACCCTACGCCGACAATGAACTTGTAACTTCTTTGATTCTATGATTTAACCATTTTTAAGTTCCTGTGATAAGACTTCAAATTCAAAGGTAGCTGCAGAAGTTACCTGATAGTAGACGAGGTCAGGAGTCTCGTGCGCCACTGTCCAGTTGAGCACGGCAGGCTCCCCATCATTACACTCCAGTTGTACTGTCTTCATGTAATCTTCGAACGTCTCGGAGGCGGCCGACTGGTCGATAGTCTTATGAGTCCACTCGCAGTAACGACCCACTGCAAGATATAGAGGTTTTTCTCAAATTGGGAATGATTTTAAACACCGACTTAGAAGTATAATAAGTATAGATGATCAAGTTGTAATCAAATTATTTCATCGAATGGCAATTGGCAAAGGTATTTGGGTGTCTTTTAGGACTCCGAAGTTCTCAAGGTGTTGTAAAAAAATCAGGATCCAAAATTTTCAACCAAAGAATGGAAGTCTACGTAAACATTAACATTCCCACCATGTCCTTTTACTTACCAGCAGTAGGGTACGGGTATCCCTCGTTATCGTACGCGACTCCAGCAAACACGCGTTGCTTCCTTTGGTCTTCCTCTTTCTTCTGTCCGAAACCTCCTTCCGAGGAATCGCTGATGTAGAATGGGTGGAATCTGGGGATAGATGCATGATGATTAACCTCCTATAAACCGTCAAAAACTTCTACATGGCCTAAGAGGACTAGAGAAAACTTAGATAGAAAGAATATTTATAATCTTACTTCTTCCTGTGGGAAAAGATGGCGTGTTTAAGGTTTAGGAGGAGTATGTGTATTCTCGCTGATATATGGCTTCTCAAGATGTATTGTAACTCAATTATAAGTTAATCTGTTTAACTCATAAATGTTCGAAATTATTTGAAAACGACTCACTTGGCCGGGTTGGTGCGGTCGTCTCCTCCCTCGACAAGGAAGGTGTAAGTCTTGCCTCGCTCCACGTATAGCTCGGGGATGAGTTGGTCGTTGATGTACCAAGCTATGCCCCATGATGGGTGACCTAAGCATAGAGCAGTAATATTACCATCACTACATAGTATGAAACAAAGTCGCCGTCTCCCGTCTGTCTGTCCAAATGTATGCTTAGATCTTTAAAACTACGCAACGGATTTTAATGCTGTTTTTTTAATAGGTAGAGTGATTCTTTCTTAAGGAATGTTTAGATGTATAATACATGCACTGCACGGGTGCAGGGCGTGCGGGTCGCTAGTTAAGAGTAATACAAAGAAAAATAAAAAAGAAAACATAATTTATTTCCATGCAAATATCCAGAGACAAAACACAGAATAAGACATTGGAGGGGGTTTCAATAAAACAATTACTAGTGCATGAACATCGACTAAGGCTTTGTTAGCCTTACAGTTAAGTTGTCGTAACTTACCATATGGAAGGAATCCGTTACTAATATCATTGTCTGCATGAAACAATAAGGGTGTAAGAGTCAATACATATTGTTTCTAGATTTAGAAAACTTATATCTTCTTAGAGATATGCCAGCGAAACAAATCCTGTATTCTGTATCCTGTGAAGTTGGGTAGTTCCTCGTGTACCCAAATTCATCCTACAATATAAAGGAATATTTCTTCTTGACCAAGATTTCCTTGTCTCTAATAGACAAGTATAAAGCAAGTAATGGTACCTGTGAGTGCGGAGTACCCCCTGGCCCCGGCGGCGGGTCCGATCCGCGCGGTGAAGTTGGTGACGCCGGAGATGACGCGCGCCGGCCAGGGCGCCGGGCCCGACGAGTCCGTCTCTGCTAGACCGATGCAAGTGTTCTCGTTCTGGGGAAAATGGCACCAATTTATTTGATTAGGCATTAATTAAAGTAAAGAGTCCTGATTTCTAATTTATAAGTCGCCGATACGCCACCACGATGACAAGGTTTTCTAAACGTTGGAAACCTATAAGAAACATTACAGCAGTAGTAGAAACAGAAATAGACTAATGCCTTCACCAACTTTTTGTAATTTTAATGGATCCCTAAGCTAACATAGATAGGTAATACTTAATGACATTTTTGGTGAGTGGTGACACCTAACAGTTTAAGTTAGTTTAGGTAGGTACTCGCTTACGTTAAGTAATTCTTAGTTAAGAGTGGTTATGGGGTGGTCGATGAAAATGGTCATAAGCCTAATTTCTATTCCTTAAAACACCTTCCCAAAAACTTCTTCATCAATGATGTCTCTACAACCCTCACCTGAGCCCCGAAGTCCAATTGCACGTCGTTCCTGGTGGTGTCCATGAAGGAGTGGGCATTGGCTTCATATCTGGAGTTGAGAGGTCCGAAGGCTGCGATGACTGACTGCGACCTGGACGTGAGGATCTCCTTGTCCCTGACTGACTCCTTGGCGGCGAGGGGACGGCGGTACGTGATCGTTGTTATACCGTTCTTTTGGTTGCCTGATACTGTGGAAGAATAAAGGCTAGTTATGGCAAATTTATGGTTTTTAGTCATAGTTTTTGATTAGGTATGAGTAGGTATTTAATGAATTATGAGAAGTTACTGTTGACAACATCGTTGTAACGTGAATATTCTTGGATTATTATGTTTTTTTACACATAGAACTGTTGAAACAACAGATCACTTTGCGTAAATTTTGATTGAATTAAAATCGCGGGTTACTCACGTGAAAATACTAGGAAAAGCTCTACTAGTTTCGAACCACAGAGGGGTTCTTCCTCATGAGCAGCGTGAGCGGTCGTGGCGATATCGCCCAGCCTACTGGCATATCTCACGATAGTTATTATAAATTTTGATTGTTTAACTTTCAAAAGGAGATTGGAACAATTTAGTTGACATATTGTTGCTTTTTTGCACAATCATCATCATAGTATTTATTTGTATGAGGTTTTACACAATGTGATTCTTCTACTCCAGCTTCAAATTATAAACCATTACTTACCAAGTTGCACGTCGTTGGTCCCGCCGATCCTCTGGTCGGGACAGACGCCGCGCTCTCCGTCACACTGCGCCAGGTGGCTGATTGAATAGTCTGCTACACGAGGCTGGTTCACCCTGGAGATGGAGGAAGACGAGAGAGGTTTTAGAACTGAGTTGTATTTTATATAGTTTAAAGTTTAAACTTCTTTATCTGGGGGTAGGTGATAGTGCTTAGATTGATTAGTTTTTATTAAATATAACGACCCTGGTTTGGAGTGTCCATTTATGTATATATCTACATAGAAATTTCTATCAATGCTTGGATAAGGCTCGCTAGGATGCGACAGGAGATTTACATGTATGAAACCAATTATTAGTAATTGGTTCACATAAAACATTGATATTCCTTTCAATCTTAGAACAGTAGGTAAACTATATTAACGAAACGAAACAGTTGTGTACAAACCTGGTGTCCCAGTAAGCGACGACGACGTCGGCTCCCAGCATGGCAGGTCTACCTTCAGCTCCAGAGATACCGAACGCCATATACTGTTCCTTGCGGAGCCGAGCAGAAAGGGTTATCTGGACTTGGTCACCCTGGAAGTCGAAATAGAGGTTAGAGAGGCATAACCGGATAATTTAGTACTTTGGAGGAGATTTGTAGCTTGAATTATAGGTTTCTTGTATTGGTCATTAATCATTATTGCAGTAGAGTCTTCAACAAGTATTTGATTTGTGATGTAGAGGTTTTGCATATCGCTAGATGGGTAGATTTAGGGTCTGTTAATCAATAGAATTACTAAAATATATGTTAATTTCAGTTAATTTTAACAGCTAATTTGTTTGAATAAGAGTGACGCAAAGCGACACTAGCGCCACCAGCACTCATTCGACAACTATATAAAATTTAGCATATTTTTTCCATAACATGTGAACAATATGAGAGAAAGACTCGCTCAATTATAAGGGAAGGATTCTTCTACTCCTAATCATCGTATAATATTATATAGATGGTAAATATTCGTGTGTATAACAATAATGTTTTACCTTTAAAGTTCTCTGGATACCCGCTTGAATGGAAACATTAAGGGACTAATTATTAAGGCTAGGATTTTAGACAAAGTTTAACTAAGTTAGTGTAGTGGTATCATCCGGCTGCATGGTAAGGAAGGAGCTTATAATAAATAACTTACCTTTACTGAAATAAAAAAATACACAACGTACGAGAAATAATAGACTCGTTACGAGAGTACTGCAGTTGCCATTACACATAGTCTAAAAAGCTGATCAACTATTTATGAATTTTTGTTCTGATGTGCATGTAGGTCTTATGTGAAGAGTCGACAGTCAAGGTACGCAAAACTCAAAGAATATAATACGGTTAGTATGGTAATACATCGTTGATTAGCCTTTTAGAAAATCACATAATAACATCAAGCCTTTTATCCGCTAAGAGGTAGGCAGAGATGGACATTCTTGACAATGTGACACCCACTTTTCACTATTTATGTTATGAGTCCCATGTATTATGGGGTGAGCCTATTGCCACATAAAGGGCACTATTCTAGCCTCCATGCTACTACTGAGCAAAACCCAGTAACCTTTGACCGACTCGGGAATTGAATGCGAGTCGCACTTGCGACCACTCGGCCAATGAGAAAAATCGATTTGTTAAATCTGTAAAATTAATGTCTATTGGTCTATTCTAACGAAAGATTTTTTTAAGCAAGTATAATAAATAATCTTAAAATACACGAAAACATGTCGCAGCCCAACTCCGATCTCATATAGGAATCGAACCCAAACAACCCTATCTTTAGGTTGAAAAATAAAAGTATTGAATATTCACCTGTATCTCCCAGCGCACTTGTAATCTCTTGTCGAGGATCTCCTTGCAGTTGTTCGTGGCACTGAATGGTGACTGAGAGGTCGTTGAACTCGTCTGTAACAGTGGCTTGTATTATTTGCTGATAAGTTATCAGAGGGTCATACTTTACCTGTGTAGCTGTTCAAAAGTTAGGTTACACTTAGGTTAGTAACTAAGGCAGTAAAAGTTATGATAAGTAGACGTTATTTGTTTTCGTTTAATAGGTTATAGGGCGACTATCGTTTGAGGACTCCGGTCAGGCTCGAAATTAGTTGAGCATCCCCGTAATATAGTGAAGAGATTGTTACTATCTCTATGACCCATATAGGAAAACTCAATAGCAGTCCCAAGTTAATGGCTAAGGAATAACTATTTATTTAATCGTAATAAAACACTATTTTTGTGTGAGTTCCACCACAGCAAGCTCGTGCTTAGTTTTTATAATTTAAAACCTTTAATCAATTTATAAAGGCAATAGGGTAGTTGCTAGGATATGAAAATTAAAAATCGAATTAGTCTGTCAGATTGATAATGAAAACATATTAGATACATTTTTTTTTATTTTCTCGTATAAAGTTATAATACTTAGATAAAATGGAGTTAAGTTTAGGAGTGGGAGGTCGTTACGTCACTAAGTGCTACAAAATGTAGCGTATTGTGACGTCACACGATATTTCAGATTATTATATCGTCGAAAGTATTTAATTTTGTGAGAAAAGAAAAAATATGTATCTAATATTTTAAATTAATCTACCAGACGGACTATTAAAATAAAATTTACGCTACTACCCTATTACTTAATTAACCTATAACTAATAGAACAAGTAAATAAATATCATAGATTCTGCTTCAAACAAGGTTAGTAAACAAGAATAATTTCCCAAAATAGCACTCAATATTAAGTAAATAAATAAATTAAATACTCACAGGGTTATACCACCAAGCGGGCTGTAAAAACATAATGTCCCGACGATAACAATTCCAGGGTAAGCAGAGAGATACAAACATAATATAACGGTTTAGTAACGAAGCTTTATTAAGTACACACAGAACAGTTGTTAGATGATAAAAGTAAATAACAGAGTTATTATTATATATTCAGTCTTTTTTACGACACAGGATCTTGAGATTCACTTAGGTACGGTTTATCAGTTCATAACGTGAATAGGTCTTCATTAAGATACTAATATCTTAACTTAAGTAAGAACTTAAACCCTAAGGTTTAAGTTAGGATTGCAATGGGATAAGGCAAAAAAATAATTGCAATAAGGCTTCCGCTTAAGGTCTACTAAGAGATGAGACGAAGGAGGCGTTTGCCCTGAAGTGAGACGACCACGGCTAACAAAAAAAGTAAAATAATAAATAGGGCTTCAAAAAGTTCTCTCGCCAATGAATGAAAATCTGGGAGATTTTTCATCTGAACACTCCAAAGTCCAATTCTATTGTATAAGTTGACAAATTTTGGTTAAGTATTCTTCAGTTAAATAGAAAATAAACTGCATTTGGCAACGAATTAGGATTAGGATTGTACGTTGGTCCTAGTTGTTGATCTAGAACGAAAATGAAACAGAGAAGGTATCCATCTACCTATGAACCCAAACCGCTAATTCAAGAGAGGGTTCTTAAATCTCTTCAGTTAGCGGTTGACTAAGAAGAGATAAGGAGAAAAAGAGACATCTCTCTGATCCTGTTTCGTAAACCCTGGTTCAGAAACCAGACAACCAGTCAAATGAGAACCAGTTAGGTTTAACACTAGGTGCTCTAGTTGTCCTAGGTGGACTATTGTTTGTTAGTCTTTGAAACTTAGTAGTTGTACGTCCTTTAGCAGGCTTCCGTCTACCCTGTAAAGATTAGGAATGAAAACAAGATTATGGTTAATTGTGACAAATGTTTGGTTAAGTATCCGGGAAAGCTGTTAGATATGGGAAGAAAGTTATTGTTTTTTTTATATTTGATTATGTTAACTCGTCGAGTACCGGTTTTGCAGACACAATTATAGAACAATAGGTTGCGGTCACCGGTGACCGCTTGGTGTTTGACAGTTTAAAAAGTAAAAATTAGATTTCAATAAGTTTCTTAGTTAGAAGTTGTATACCTGTTCTCACAACCTTAGATAGGTGACATTTAACGATATTATGGTTTACACCAATCTATAAATGACACCTAACAGTACAAGTAAGGTATTAGTTTAAGTAATACCTTACGCTGAATAACTATTAGTTAAGTGGTAGTTTATGGGCGGTTGGTGAAAACGGTAATTAATTTTTCATTCTCTGCCATGCATCATCAGACTGTCATCTTCGCTCAACACAACATTATATTTATCACAGGTACTTCCCAAAGGGTATATTAAGATATCATTGTTCAACCCCATTAAAAGATGGGCCACCCAATCTTATCCAAAAGTCATAATACATTTCGAAACATCGAAAAGCCCAATAACTACTTTGCTTTACACGGAAATCGAATCCGAAAATGCGAAACCCCTTGCTCTTTAGTAGCTAGTAGCGGATGCAATCACTCGACTAACGTGACAATCATTTATCAGTCATCCACCTGACTCAAAACATCTACAACTGACGTCACAAACACATTATTTCAGCCTCTATCACCATTTTCCAACTCACAGTAATTTTAGTCTGTCCTAAAGCCGGCGGCACGTCCAGGTCCTTAGGTATGTAGACGTGGCCGAAGTTATGGCGATACTCAACACACCAGACCGCCAGCCAGTCTATATCATACGCCGTCAGCTTGCCTGGCAGCTGGATCTCTATGTCTTCGCCCTGGTAGCCACGTAGGGGATTAAGGGATCCCATCTCGTTGGGGACCTGGAATTTATTATTATTTTTGGAACAATCATTTCAATATGTGGGTCCCTGGTGGGACTTGAAAATAATTGAGTTGTCTCATCAAACAGCAACCTTATAACATATTATTTAATTAAAATATCAGTCTGTCGATAAGTTAAGTATTCGATATGAGCACTGCTTGCCATTCCCGGTATGACTAGAATTCTCCTAAACATGAGATCTTGTTACGAGCTTTGATGTTTGTGTCTACAACGATACTGTGATACATTCAGGAAATGTTCTCTATACGTACCTATAGTGAATATCGTATTCAAATAAACTCTGAATTATAAACGAGGGATCTGATTCTATTCGTTTACACAGATAATAAACTTCATCTAAACTTTACACATCACGAGTAATTACTGATAGTTAATTATATCAGTATTTACTCGCACCGCTCAACAATCTTACATCACAGGTTGTTCATTCGTATATTGATATTTCACCATTTAGTTATAATTTCGTCCCAAGAGACAGAATCATGTTTCGGCACCAATGGACCGGTTCAACCGAAGTTATAACACGACCGAGCAGAAAACCATAGTGAAACCACGCTTAAGTTGTGCTTCATCATTACCAGATGTCCTTGTAATTCATACAGCCGCTATTAAAACCTAGTTGTTAAATTTTATACCTTAGTTCCAAAAGGATTTGGTTCAGATCCGTTGCCGACCCAGAAGTAGGCGTCGGGACCTGCTCCATCGTAGTGCAGGTTGGGTATGTAGAAGGTTTTAGCGTCCAGCACACTAATATTGCCAGATCTTAGGCCATGAGCCAGACGTTTGAACTCTGGCAGAACACGAGGCCGGGGAGGGTCCAGAACCGGAGGTATGAATACGTCACCGAAGTTCACCTGGAGAAGAATAATTGAGACATGTTGAAATTAAGATAAGGGTATGGAAGATTTTCAAATGATATTATCTACAGTACACAAGGTTGTGGTTACTGAGTAATTTTTAAGTTCTCGAAGGATTTTACTACCTGTATTGTTTATCTGGGTGGTAAGTAACGTAGAATATGTCGGAAAAATTAATATTTATTTATTTTATTTATTTATATATCTATTCATATTGCACAATGTACATATAATATGAAGTATTAAATACAACTAATTCAGTACATTACCCTGTTAGGGCGCAGCAATTTAAAACGTTACAAAATTTAATGTTACCTGAAATTTATAACTATTTCTTAAAACTATAACTATATACCTATGTATTAACTATTGCCGACATTCGTGTCGTGATTGTCAAGTGATGTGTGGTACCAATATGTTACATACGTATTTATTGTTAGAAACTTGCCTATTTACTTGTAGTGTGTCAAAAGTTTCAGTTCCATTTCAATAATAACAGAAACCTTTTATGCCACTTATCATTTTGTCGTAAATATCTACAACTCGACTCGACTATCACATTTCAAATATTAAATCTCATTCGTGTCAAATTAACATCAAGTGAACGCATCCATTCACGGCGAACGCGACCAATGGCAGCGTTTGAAATGAATCTCATTCTGTACTTGAGCAATGGCGGCTAAATGTCACATTTTGGCGCGAAAGTTGTAAGCATGCGCGCCAAAAGCAATCGATATTTTGTTTCGGTTGTTACTTGCGGGTGAAGCAGCTTTTTGCGTATATTAGGAGACATACTTTATTTACCTACCTATGTGTATGTACCTACGTACATAGGTAATATGTACAAAGTTACCAAGAAACCTATGAAAAAACAGTAATTGTTTCCAAATTATATTATTCACTTACAAATATTTTTTAAATTGTTTGTATATTAGATTGCTTTGATCTATTATAGATTTAAATTATTAGAGACATCGCATCACAGTTATTACATCATGTGAGTAAGGTTATCGGAAGTCCAATTCTTCTCTTTATCCTGCATCTCCAATTCCCAAGCCAGCTACGCATTTGTAACTCTTATGGTGTTGCGGGTGTCCTTAGACGACGCCTATAGCTTACCATCATCTGATTTGTCTGCTCATTCGCTTTTCTATCCCACAAAAATACACTTACAGTGAATCTCCGGCACCAGACACTGATCCACTTGATGTCCCTCAGGCGCTTGCCTCCGGGCAGCTTCAGCAGTATGTCTGTGTTACTATGCGCCGACAGTATCGGGGGGTCCCTGGAATATAAACACCAACATGTTTTTATAAACTTTTGAATGGTATGATAAAGAAGTTACTAAAATAATAAAAGACTAGCTCCTACCATCGGCTTCGCTCGCGGTGATAAAAAATAACCGATGTAATATTCCAGACCATAATCTACCTCTGTTTCAAATCTCATCATGATCGCTATAGCCGTTGTGACGTGAGTGAGTAACAAACATATACACAAACATACAAACTATCGCATATTTACAATAAGACTAGTAAGAAGCGAAAATAAGAGATATACAAAAGCTATTGATTTGCGAATCGAATCAAAGTCCCACTTCTTCTGCCTAATTGTAGATTTTATAAAAATGTCGTTGTAAAAGCACTCTATAAATAAAACGTCTGGGTTTTCAACCCTTTCTGTTTAAACTACTACCAGTCACTAATAGCTCAAAACAGTATTTTTTATAGCATTAGCCGGTAAACGAGCAGACGGATCACCTGATGGTAAGCAATCGGCGCCACCAATGTACACCCAAAACACCAAGGTCTTACAAGTGCGTTACCGGCCTTTTGGGGATTAGAAGTTTGAGGATCGTTGGGGATTCAGGGATTGGGAAGATTGAGGAAGGGGAGGGTAATTGGGCCTTCAGTAACCTCACTCACACGACGAAACAGAACGCAAGCGTTGTTTCACGTCGGTTTTCTATGAGGCCGTGGTATCACTCCGGCCGAGGCGGCCCAGTCGTGCCGAAGCATGGCTCTCACACACTTTAAAAGTCTCCGAAATGACAAGGAAAATGGAGGCAGTCAGATATCGAAATACAGCTGACGAAGAGTGGATGTACTCTGGTACATACGACTCTCTTCTAATAGGACTTGGGAGTTACAACCGAGCCCACATCAGAAAGATACGACCACGTATAGTATTTGAAATAGATTTCCTTCTTTTCTCGCAATAATATAAGTTGGAGAAACACATTGCAACTGAACGCAGTACCATAAAATGTAACAAAGGTTCGCTCATATATACACACATACACATACTTACATACATTTGTTGTACCTATATGTGCTAAGTAAGTGGCTACATAGCGTGGTACATAAGTACATGGACGACAATGTCCTAACAAGAGCGACTTTATTCCAGTACAATTTTCTACTGGGAAGGATTTTAGTTTCACGTCTGAACTAGGTATGGTATGAAGTAGGGTTTACGTCATGATGATTTTCTGTCTATGAACCTGTAGGTAGGTTTAAAATTAAAATTGTTCATCCGGTTAAACATAATTTACCAAGGACTGCCTCGTTGGCCGAGTGGTCGCCAAGTGCAGTTTTTTTTTTTTTAAGGGGGGAAAATCATCGAATGACTGCTCCCGCCTGGGTGAGGCGGGAGGGAGTGTCAGACTCTTACTGACACTAAAAACCACTCCGTTCCTTCTCCTGCACGTCGAGCCGGAGCCCCGGTTACCTGTTAGGTTCTCCGCGACTCCGAATCGGCATCGGCCCTATTGGACCCCATCTGTGGCGGTCTGATGGCGCTCGGGTCTGTTTCTGGTCGGACGGGGAGCCACCCATGCTCGCCGTTCGCAGGCCCCGCAAGTGCGGGTAAGGGGTCTCGAGTTCGACTCCCGGGTCGGGCAAAATGTTACTGTTTTTTTAAGAATCTCAGTAGTAGCAGTCTGGAACTGGGCCCGGTATGTGGCAATAGGCTCATCCCATATTACATGGGAGTAATAACATAAATAGTGAAAAGTGGGTGTTATATTGTAGGTACAGTGGCATAAGTGCACCTCTGCCTCCCTTCGGGGATAAAAAAAAGACATGATGTTATGTATGTGTTAAAAATGTATTAGTAGAAAGTAAACTTGTCAGTCAATTTAACAGTTAATTGAAGTTCAACCAAATCTGAATTGAATCAACACCCAGTGATAATTATACCTATACAGGTACCTAATCATCATCAGCTGACAACTCCTATAGATAAAGACCTCTTTTCACAAGAGAAGGCATGTATTCCTAACCTCTAAAAGAGTATGTAAAAGTCAGTTGACGCTGATCAATAGTGACTAAGTAATAAGTAAGCGATTGGGCCCAGCGGTTTGTTTTTCTAGGAATGGAATAAGCTTGTCTCAAGGACCTGTATCTGAGTCAAAATAATAAAACAGAGTTCTTGTTGCCAAGCGGTAAACTCGATAAAACCTGTACGAGTTTATATTTTATTTCTTTTTGCTCTACACATTACAAGCTTAAGTTTTTATCAAAATGAGGGATTTTCCATGAAAATTTGGTATTATTAAGCATAACATAACATAACATAACATCACGCCTTTTGTCCCCGAAAGGGTAGACAGAGGTGCACATTACGGCACTTAATGCCACTGTACAATG